TCACTACTTAGTGATGTAATTTGAGTGCTTATGGATATGTTAGTAATTATGTATGTTGAACACTTAGTGGTGTAACTTTATGCATATTTCACTACTTTTGCTAATATGCTGCATATTTCAATACTCCAATTGCAATCTCATATTTTACTACTTAGGGTTTGTGGCAGCCTATTACTATGTTGGTTGCTTGTCTGAGCTTCAGTCTGAGTTTTAGTTTTAGTTTCAGTTTCAGTTTGAGCTTTTTGGTTTGTGGCAGCTTATTACTATGCTGGTTGCTTGTTTCAGTTTCAGTTTGAGTTTGAGCTTGTGGGTTTGGGGCAGCTTATTACTATGCTGGTTGTTTCAGTTTAAGTTTGTCACTGAGCTTGGTTGCTTGTTTTTGATGGATTTGTGGGTTTGTGGCAGGTTTGAGATTGCGGGTTTGTAAGTTTGAGCTTGGTTGCTTGTTTGAGCCTTGGTTATTTGAGTTTGAGCTTGTTTTTGATGGCTTGTGAGATTATGGGTTTGTGACAGCCTATTACTATGTTGGTTGTTTCAGTTTCAGTTTGTCACTGAGCTTGGTTACTTGTTTTTGGTGGATTTGCGGGTTTGTGGCAGGTTTGAGCTTTGTGGGTTTGTGAGTTTGAGCTTGGTTGCTTGTCTCGGCCTTGGTTATTCGAGTTTGAGTTTGTTTTTGAGCTTGTTTTTTATGGCTTGTGAACTTGTGGGTTTGTGGCAGCCTATTACTATGCTGGTGGTTTCAGTTTCACTAAGCTTGGTTGCTTTGTTTTTGATGGATTTGAGGGTTTGTGGCAAATTTGAGCTTGTGGGTTTGTGAGTTTGAGCTTGGTTGCTTGTCTGAGCCTTGTTTATTTGAGTTTGAGCTTGTTTTTGATGGCTTGTGAGCTTGTGGGTTTGTGGCAGCCTATTACTATGCTGGTTGTTTCAATTAAAGTTTGTCACTGAGCTTGGTTGCTTGTTTTTGATGGATTTGTGGGTTTGTGGCAGGTTTAAGCTTATGGGTTTGTGAGTTTGAGCCTGGTTGCTTGTCCGAGCCTTGGTTATTTGAGTTTGAACTTGTTTTTGAGCTTTGTGGGTTTGCTGCTGGTCTGAGCTGCTTGCGAGTTTGTTACAAGCGTTTAAGCTTATGGGTTTGTGAGTTTGAGCCTGGTTGCTTGTCCGAGCCTTGGTTATTTGAGTTTGAACTTGTTTTTGAGCTTTGTGGGTTTGCTGCTGGTCTGAGCTGCTTGCGAGTTTGTTACAAGCTATTAAAATGTTGAAAAATTCATTTGGGGTGTTTGTTCAAGTTTTTTTTAATGACCATGAATTTTTGATACTAGTTTAAATATTTTTTTTGGTATTTTAAAATATTAAATTATTATTTTTAAAAGAGTATTTATATTTTTTCGATTTTTCTAGAATTTTCTATGATTTAAAAATCCGATTTTATATCTATTTAATGATTTTGATAATTATAAATTAAATTATTGCGGTGAAAACTTTTAAATTAATATTGGTTTTATTATTGTTATTATTATTATTAGTATTGTTATTAATTATATTAATTATTCCCTAAACCCTAATCCTATATATAATCCTCTCTCTCTCTCTCTTTCTCTCATTTTCATCTCACTCAAAAACCGCCTGGCGCACTCATCTTCTCCCTTTCTTCCTCTCTCTCTCTCGTTCTCAATCTCAGCATCTTCCAGCCTTTCCTCCTCCTCTTCCTTGCTACCGGCCGCACTCTCCTCTGTTCCACCTCCCTGCTCACCCCTCTGGCCTCAGCCTTCCTGCAACCCCACCGCCCCTTATCCTCGTCTGCCAACTCCGACGATAGCCATCTCGCCCCACTACCGATCCCGCCGCTCGAAATCCCTCGAACCGCCCTCCTCCAACCGCTCTACAACCAACCCCCACAGCCATCACCGCCCTTGACAACTGCCGCATCCAAACTCCCCTGAGCCTCCAAATCTGGACCACCTCGTACTCTCGGACGATCCACGACCCGTAGTCCTCCCTCGACCCCGCCCACACCTAACCCCCAACCTCCGACGCCCTCTCCGTCACTCGCACTAGCTCCTCAACTCGTAAGCCTCCTCTCGTCGCTAACTCCGACTCCCTAGCCTCTGACGATCCTACCGTCTTCAGATCCGCCGTCGTCGCCTCTGTAGTAGCCGCCGATCAACCCCAGATCCGCGCCATCCATTGGATCTGCTCCACCCACTTCAGTCCCGTTGCACCGCATCTGCAGCAACGTCATCACCTCGTCCACGGGCCTTAGCCTCGTAGGCAAGATCCTGCTCATCTTGACTCATCATTTCATAATTATATTTGTCATTAAATTAGTTGCATAAATTAGACTGTGATTAGTTATTATCTGCATGGATTGGTTGATGATAGATGAGAATAACTGATATTGTAAGGATACAAATTATTTTTTTAGAGAAAAGATTATTTGAATTAATAGATTATTATATTTAAAGATTATTTTTAGAATTATTATTATAATGGGAACAAAATTTATTTTGGAAGAGGGAATATTAAAAAGAATATTTAAAGAATACTTTTAGAATTATTTAAAAGAGTTTATTTTAGAATAAGGGATTATTTTGAATTATTATAATAATAAATAATTTGAAAGGGTTATTTTGAAAAAAAGGTTTATGTTGAATTAGTATATGAGAAAATAATTTAAAGAATTTATTCTAGAAAAAGAGAATATTTTGGATTATTATAATGAGAAATAATTTTAAAAGAAATTATTTTGGAAAATGAATTATTTTCTGAATTACATAGTTGTTGTTCATAATTTATGATTCTTAATTTTAATTATCTAGTATGCCATGATATTATTATACATGATTAGCTGCATTTATTGTTCCTTGTTGTGTTTGAGAACCATTAGTAGTTCATGACTTAGTGGCTTTGTGCGTCATGAACAAGACTTAGTGACATGTGTGTGTGTGTGTGTGTGTGCGTTGACTAAATTTAAGAGGTGGACCAGAGCTCTAGTGTAAGTTATGTTTGTTGACTTAGAAAAGCAAGAAGAGTTGGGATGTGGAAGTCTTGGTTCATGTGATCGGATGTGGCTATTGATGTATCTTCCAGGCTCGCACCGGTGAATTCGTGTAGTCACTAGGGTTGGTTTGTTGGGCTAAAGTAAATTCGTGTAGTCACTTTAGTCAGTGAATTTGTGTAATTACCCGAGTTTTGCTTAAGTTTAGATCAGGCCGAAATCGGATTGCGTGTAGTCCTCTGACCAATTCGTGTAGCAGTATTGGATGCACGTAGAGGATTTGTGAACAGTCATCTATCCGAGAATATGAACGTTGACTCTATGTGAGATGTGGACCAGTAACTTGTTATAGGATGGTTAGTTACATGGCCTCGTTACTTAGATGATTATGGATTCTTGTGAGATGTGGACTAGTTATATTTCTTTTCATACATAGATTGAGATTGATATTTAATTATCTACAACTTGAGACATATGGTATATACATAAGTGTTTCCTTATTTGTATTATTTCGCTCGATGTACTACGTCTCGTGTTATAAAATTTTAAGTATTAATTCCATCTAGTTGTATGACCTTGTTACTCGGATGTTTATGGATTCTTTTGATTATTATACCCTAGTGGTGGATTGCATCTAGCTTGTTAGTATTTCAGCTGCACGTTTCTTCATTATTATTGTTATTGCATTGGTCGTTCGTCTGTTTCTATTCTTCCTTTTGGGATCTTATCGTGTGCCATGCACCCTGACGTACTCCTTTTTTCTCAGGTTGTACGTCAGATTTAGAGGGCAGACAAGTTCAGTAGGAGCCAGAGTATTCTCAGCAGGAGTACTTTGCAGACAGAGCAGAAGAAGAAGCTGAAGCTTAGTTATTTCCTTTAGTTGTTCGACGGTCCTTATTTATCTTTGTAGCACCTTTCTATTTCCGTTTGATCGATGTATTTTTATATCTCTCCAATATTCAGTTTGATAGTTTTGTATAAGGGCATGTTGACCCAAATATTATGTCTGAGATGATATTTCAGTTGTGATATGTATCATTTTGTTCTGAGTTATTTATTATATTCTCGAACTGTGATCAGGAATCCGTGCCTTCGCTTTATATTGCTTGACGCTTAGCGTATTAGATTGAGTAGAAGATCTAGTACTTATTTCTCCTCAGTCTAATACGTCGCGAGCTTGTTCATGTTCTGATTCCCTGATATTTTGGGAAGCGGGGCATGACATTTTTTTGAGCTAGTGATCTTGGATTTGAAATTCTAGGATGAATAAGTGAGTTTTTTGAGTTTTTCGGATTTAGTTATGATGATTGGTCACATATTGATAAATGCCAACTACAATGTGATTTCATTGTTTACAGGAGGCGTTCATTAATGAAAATAAAATCTAGATTGCTTTTGTAATTTTTAGATGAGGCGGTCCATTATTTGAATGGAATCTATGATGCAATTTCATTATATAGGTATTAAAAAATGAAAATTTTCTGAGCCTCTATATTATAAATTGTTTTTACATTTTTTTATTTACATTGTCTCGGGTTAGTTTATGACCGTTGGAGTATAAATTTGAATAGGTAGATTACCCCAATTGAATACAATTGTATTTATTCTTTTGTGGAAGGTAAGCTCACCAAAAGGTTCTTATATTTACCAATCATTATTTTGGTAATCCTAAATTTTGTTTGCTACAACTATAGATTTCAAATTTTAAAATTTGTAATGTTACAATTTGAATTTGAAACAAATAAAATATTATAAATTTTAGTATTACATATCCTAAAATATTGATGAAACAAACAATATTTTAAAAATCCAAACTCATGTTAAAAAACCTATATATTTTAAATCCGATGATGACACCCATATCCACAAATTACAGTATTTCAAATACCATATGAAACACGTATCGTAGATTTGAAAAAAACAACCCCCAACAGTACAGGTTAAGTCTGGTACCGCCTCGAGGATAACGTAAGAAGCTTCGCCACAACAATAATAAAAGGAAATAAAACCCACAAAGCCATTCGCGTTATCTCATCATTGCCTCTCTCATCGTCCAGATCAAAGTAAAAGGCAAAATTGCAGACAAAATCGTTACCCAAACCCTAGTTCGATATCCAATCAAACCCTGATTTGATCCGCAATCTCTGTCTCTCTCTCTATCAAGATTTTGAAACCCTAGCATCATTCCATTATCCGATCAATCTCTCCCCCCTCTCCCCCGTCTGATCCTTCATCCCAAACCCTAATTTCTCGCTGCTCTCCAAACCCTAATTCGATCTCCAATCAGACCCTAATTCGATCTGCAATCGAAACTTCTCTCCTTCCATCAACATTTTGGAAACCCTATAATCATTGATTTATCCGATCAATCTCCCCTCTTTGTACGCTCGGATCCTTGACCGTCGAACCCTAATTTGTTCGTTCCGATCGATTTTCCATCCTGCTCTCAACAATTCGTCGAAATTTCTCACGTACCTGGAATTTTTCTCACGAGGTCGAATTTTTAGCGTCTCCAAGTGAATTTTGTCGAAATCAAGAGTCGCGCGAGATAGCGAGGATCATCAGAATCTTTGAAGTTTGTACTTTATCGAGATAAAGTTTGTACTTTATCGCGCGAGATAATGGCTGGAGGTGGAAGCAGGAGTAACGAGGGGCCGCTGAAGATTGGGAGCACTAACGGATTTGCAGTTCTCGAGAGCCTTAAGAAGAAGAAGAAGTCGACTAAGGATTCCTCGAAGAGTAAGGGGTCTTCAAAGAGTCACGCGAAGGAGCTGGAGCCGCCGGTGTTTTGGAACCCGAAGCCTTTGGTTAACAAATCGTGGGCTGATGTCGAGGATGAGGATGATGATGATTACTACGCGACCTCTGCTCCTCCACAGGGGATTTGGGGAGCTTCAGATCCGAGTAATCAGAAGAAAGAGATGGAGATCGAGGCAGTGATGGAGGAGGTATATATTATAAATTATAAAGTTATTCATTTGAATAGTTTCTTGCTCATTGTTCCTTTATTTGTTTACCTGTGCTTTTATGTTGGATATTGGATATAAAAAAATTGTAGAAGCTATTTGTTGTGTAGTTGGACAGATAAATCCCATTATCACAAAGTAATTTTATGGGGTCGTAAATATTGAACTTCACAGAGTAATTTTATGTTGCTAATGAATTTATGTTTGTTTTTGAAAAATCTACATTTGATATTAGCCACATAGAATGGGAAATAGAGGTTATATTAAGTTCTGATTGAACTTTGCATCGTAATTTTAAGTTGCAGTGAGTTATTTTTACATATGAAAGTTTACATAAACTTTCATATTAGCCAAATAGCATGTAGGAAATAGAAGCTACTTAAATTAAGTTTTGTTGGTCCAGTCTTTTCGCTACACTTTTGACTCACCTTCCTTGCAGATAGGACGATGATCTATTAATGGATATCCTCTTTAGGTATACTTTCCTGGAAGTACCTCCATACCTCCTCCCTCTACTGTTAGCTGGTTACTGTTCAATACACTTATTTGGTTTAGTGGTTTCTCATCATTAGGTTTTGTGTAACCCTGCCCAAGCTCTGAGTCTGTTTTAATCCAGCTGCACTTGTTTGAAAGCATTTTCAGTGGCGTTTGTGATGTCTCATTGAGGCTATGCTATTTCTAGCCTATATACAATGGCAACGCCCAAAAAAATCATGTATTTAGGGTTTTCCTGGAGCTGTTCAATGCTTCAAGAGTCTATGCATCCTTCATCTCCTCTTGCTTCTATTTCATCGTCACATAGTGAATATATATGCGTGCATGCATGCGTATGTGTATATTGGTATGTGTCTGTAAGCATGTGTATGAGTGGATACACACATTTTCTTATTACAATCTGATTATCCTCTTTCGAGCATGCCAAAATAATCTTGAGTGTATATACATGCAAAGCTGAATCTTCGCCTGCAGTATTGGTCTCCTTTTTGTGATTTTGAATGTTTGTGTCACCCTTTGTCATTTGTAAATCGTAACCTAGCTCTCCGAATAAAACTCTTACATCGGTGATGCCTAATATGTTCCATCATATTCTCTAAACTAGTGATGAGTGAGTTCTTATGATAATGCTACGATTGCCTTCTCGGAGCAGTCCCAAAGCAGTATAAGAGCCCTTTTTTCATTGCAATATGTCCTGGGTCTACTTGGCAAATGCTATTCTGTAAGATGCATGCTTAATAGTTTTACACTACTACGAATAGGCAATACTATTAAAAGGCTCAGATCAAGAGAAGAAACACAAGTTGTTTAACTAAATTTACATGCCTGGTTCTTCTTTTCCAAAAACATTTCCTTCTTTTCCACATTGCCACTGACAAAAATAGATGATTCTGATTTGAGACCTAGTGACACATTGTCTTTTCTCCCCTTCCGTAGTCTTGTAATTACCTAAGAAAGCAGTTGCACGTCTACTAAAACTCTACCTTTATGATGCCTTCCCTTTCTATATGTATAATTGAATTATTTCTTGGGTTATCACAATGTTCTTTAGGATGTGGTTTCCACCCATGGATCCTACTTGGTACATTTAATATTTACTTATATTTTTTAACATGGAGATTTTTGAGATAAACTTCATGTTCCATTTTAGTTGTTGCTTTATGGTCTCCCACCTTTCTGGCCTCCCGTGTGGATAAGGATGAGCAGGGCATGGTTCCATCTTTCTTCATGGAGCGTCAATCCACTAGGAATGTGGAACTCTTTTGTTATGCCCTTTTCTCTAGTATATATTGCTCATGCGTAAGAAAAACAGGGACCCCATCTGGTCCAATTTTTGACATCCTTCTATAGCTTTCTTCAAGCAGCTTTAAGTATTCCATCTACCTGCTCTCGTCATTGCTGTCTTTCTACTTGGTGGCCTTTTGGAGGAATGCCTGCATTTTTCTTCTAAATGCAGTCCTTGTCAATGACATTTTTCTTTTGTCCATAGTCCGCATTGAACTGTGGATTGTGAATAATGGTCGTTTTTCTTCACTTACTGGTGACCATGACTCTGGGTTAGACTGCAGGTTGGAGGTTTCTTAACTTGAGTCATACTATCCTGGAGGTCTTTTCTTCACCCAATGCTTCTTGTATATGGTAAACTCAAATGTCTTTTTTTTAACTATTTTCATGATCGAAATAGTCCCTATAGTTTCTAGATGTTGGTTTGTTCATTTGCTAGATTGGTCTATGTATAAGCTAAATCTGACAGTTCGTTGCCCATTTTTGATTGCTACAGTTTGTCACATAGTTACAAATTCGATGTAAACTACTTTGGTCTAGTATCAGTGATTGATCATGATGATTGTATTGTTTTTATTGTTTTTACATGTATTATGACCCATCTCCATGATGATTTTATTGTTTTTATGCATATGTTATTTCTTCCTAGCAGAGTTATTGGTCTATTGTTTGTTTATTATTGTGACCTGTTTCTCTCTCTCTCTCTCTCTCTCTCTGGGTCGTGAAAATTTGATAACAGTAATCTGGTGTTTTGTTTTCTTGACATATTTGACCGGCTGCAATTAGTTCGCCTATTGCTCTGGTGTACAGTTATTATTTTTTGAAGCCTGGTAGAATCATTTGTCACCCGTATTTGTGAGTATGGTGATCTTAGTATTGTTTGTTTGAATGATTGAGATCTTGTGGCTAGATCAGATGTTGGCATTGTTGATGTCTCATACATAACTTTCATTTCAAATAATTAAACTCTTTTGGGGCCAATTTCGGATATAATCACAGCAGATATTTATGTTTCCCTGTTACAGTTAGTTAGCTTTGCTATTTTGAAGAATTGTTCACAATCCTACACGGGTTATTATGACTAATCTACATTACCCGGCTTCTTCTATCATGAATCCGTTCCCGTATCGATGCGTTCCCGTACCCAAACTTCATGGATACTCCTTGAACATATGCATACATTTTTTATGACATGTACGCAATGATATGATGTGTTCTAATTTAAAACACTTGTCAAACACCTGACATATAACCTACACTTTACATCCATTTCTTAAAACGAGTTAGATATGGTGCAGATTCATCCGCCTATACCCAAGGAAAGCTATAAATTTAACGGGTTGTTTGGGTGTCTAGTTAAAAAATGAGTAGTTTCCAATTTATACTAGTCAATTTAATAAAAGATATACAAAAATGTGATAGGAATTTTAATTCTAATGACGCATGAAATGAAAAACAAAAATGATCTCATGTGAAATTAATTAGAGAGAGAGAGAGAGAGAGAGAGAGAGAGAGAGAGAGAGAGTCTTGTGCTGCACCCATACTCGTACCCGTACTCATTTCCATGCAATTTAGTGACTAATGTTTGCATTTCTAACATATTGTGGCTTTTGAAGTACATAATTACTTTGTCAACATTAGCAATTAAATCATAAAACTTGCAGTATAATTTATTCTGTATTTCCACTTTTATGTGAAAGTGATACTATCCTTCGCTTGTGAGTTGTGTCTCTCTGGTTATAGGGATGTTCGGCTGTTATCTTTACATGTGTTCCATCTTGCTTATAAACTTGTCCTTTCTGGAGATGGAGATAAATCATTTCCATCTCTTTTTCCTAGTCATTCAAATAAATGTCTATAGGCCTAACATAACCCAAGGACGACTGAGCAATTGGTAGCTATGCCATAAAACCTTTGAATCTAGCTCCGTGCATAAACAAGACCTACTTTCCATGTAAAGAATTAATCTTCCAATTACATAGTGATGAGTTTTGGGAAGTTTTTTGTTCAGTTTGTGGGGAAATGCATATGAGAAGATCTAATGTTGGAAATCACATTCTTTGGCTTCTGTTGTGTGTGTGGTGGAATATGGAAACATCATTTCTGAAGCACTAGCAACTAAATGGAATGTCATCCTGTTTATTTATGAAATGTTTATGTAACTCATATTATTCGAAAACTGAAATCTTTTCCTTGATACTGTATCATAGATCACATGCTAATTTTTTCTTCTTCTAGTTTTAAAATCTTGGTCCACTCAATTCTGTCCAAAATGCAAAATTGGTTATGGTTAAGTATGTACATAATTGTTTGTGCTATATATTTTATAGTTTGTTAGGGTTTCCTCGAGTTAATAGTCTTGTTTGATTGCATTTATGCCATTCTAAAATTAATACCTGGTGTGTATTGGCATTTTTCACATTAAATTTCTAACTGTACACGTGTGATCTAAGGGGGCATTTGGTAACTTGCAACTATTGTTGCTATGCCTCCGTGACTTGCATGCAATCGAATCATTGCAATTCTTGTTGCATGCAATTACACTTGCAGTTGTTTGGTTTAATTTTAAAATTCTACACCTTGCACTTACTACTGTAGTGTAGTTGTAGTTGTTTGGTTCTCCTAGCAACTTCTCATATGCAACTTGTTTTCACTTTTAATAAATTGGATTGGAAACAAATTGGATTTTTTTTGGATTTTAAGTACTAATTTTATTCTTAGAACTATTAATATTTATTACAATTTGTTGGTTTTTTAATGATTTTTTAAAATTATTTGATGTTTTATATTTTTTTGATGTTTTATAGTTTTTGTATTTTTTAAAGTATGTTTCTTGAAAAATCTGAAGTAAATTGTAAAATATGTTATTTTTTCAAGTAAAATTTTAAACATATAATGTCATTAGTATTTCATAAAAATTCAGATTTCTTGAAAAGTTATTTTTTTGTAAAAAAATGGATTTAGAATTTTTTTGAAGGTTTTTTGGAAAAATTAAAACTTTTAAAAACAATTTTTTTTTGATAATTTTCTGTTTTTTGTAAAAGTTCATTTTTGTATTTTTAAAAAAATTGTTGACTTTTTTGTTTTGATTATTTTGAAATGCAATATTTTTTCAATAAAATTTTAAAAGTTTATTTTAATATATTATAATTTATTGAAATTTTGTACGTCCTTTGAAGTTTAATATTTTTTCTTGAACATTG